TTGGGGCGTGGGCTCTGGGGTGGGGCCGAGGGTTGGGGCGTGGGCTCTGGGGTGGGGCCGAGGGGTATGGAGTGTCGGAGGGGGCTTAGGGCTGGCGCAGAGGGTTGATGTGCGGGGAGGTCAGGGCTCTGGCTGGGAGTGTGGGCTCTGGGGTGGGACCAGGAATGACGGGCTCAGGATTGGGGCAGAGGGTAGGGGTGTGAGGGCTCTGGCTTGGGGGAGGGGCTCAGGGATGGGGCAGAGGGTTGGGGTGTTTGCAGGGGTGCAAGCTGGGGATGAGGGGCTCAGGGCTGGGGCAGAGGTTTGGGGAGGGGCTCTGGGGTGAGGCTGGGGCAGAGGGCTGGGGTGTGTCAGGGGGTGAGGGCTCTGGCTGTGGGTGCAGGCTCTGGGGTGGGGCCAGGGATGAGGGGTTTGGAGTGCAGAAGGGTGCTCCAGGGCTATGGGGGGGAGAGAGGACTCCCTCCCAGCTCTCTCCCCCCCCCCCGCAGCAGCACCTGGGCTGGGGGGGAGAGGTGCCTCTCCCTGCTGCGGCAGCTCCGGGGCCGGGGGATAGGTCTGGGCCAGGGCTGGGCTGGGGCCGGGGTGTCCCGGCCACGCAGGTCCAGGACTGAGTTGGGGCTGGGGGAGGGGCACTGTGGCTGGTCCCGGATAGGCGGGTTCCCTGAGCTCCTGTGCGGTGCTAAATGTGCTGCTGCGCAGCCGTGCAGTTTACAGGGAACTTAGGTTGTGAGGGGCAGGGTGAATAATCTCAAGTGAAGAAGCTGTAGGGTCTGGTAACTGATCAGGCAGCCTTAGAAGTGTCATGTTGATCTCCTAATACTGGAAGGATGGTCAGAGACCATCACCAGGGGCAAAGCAAAACTATGTTACTGTATCAGACCATGAGTCCAGTATCCCACCCCCACACCTCTGCCATACCAGATCAACCCAGTGGTCCATCTAATCTCATAGCCCTCTAGGGGAGTGTCCTGCCATGCTGGATCAGACCATTGGTCCATCGTAGTCTGGTATCCTGCCTTTGGCAGTAGAAGTATCAAAGAAGGGAAAATCACCCCCTTCTAATTACTCCTGACCAGTTGTGCAACCCTGCTCATGGGGATGAAAACTCCTTCCTGACCCATGGAGCAGTTGTTGGGGTGAGATTCACAAAGGTATTTCAGGTACCTATCTTCCATTGAAATCAAGGGGAGTTAGGTCCCTAAATATATTTGTGAATCCCACTCTTCGTGCCTTGATGCATGAGATTTTGTTACCTTCGTTTGCAAAAAATCTCAGTATATCCAAAGAGTAGTGAGAGCTTTATTTTAAATCAGTGGAAAGAAATGAAGAGAGAACCCCACCAAATGCATGAAAAAGTCAGCATGCAGAGAATAATGTGCTTATTCATAAGATGTACAGTGGCAAACTGTTTGGAGGTAACATAACCTGTAGCCCTCAAGTGGGAAATTACTACGTGGATCAGATTAAATCAGGCGTCCATTTTTTCTTTTTTAGACAGAGGATTGGAATGTTGTCTTTGAGAAAAAATCATGGAGACGCACCAGGGTCCCAGTTAGTGAGGCACCTCTTTCTATACTGGGAAGAGTCCTGGAAGCTACTATTCTAGTGACCCAGAGGCAGGATGCTTGGCAATGCACAACTTGATTTAGGATATTCAACCATGGCATGAGGAAAAAAGGAGGGTCATGCCTTATTAACGTTCTTGAATTCCTTAAGGATATCCCCAACAAAGGGAAGAGAGTTAAGTGAATAGTGGCTGTATGCAGATCTTCAGAAAGTATGTGACAAGGTTCCACATCACACACTAATTTGGTATCAAGGGAAATGGAAGCAGCTGAGGGTGTGTATTACAGTGAGACTCGATTAAGAGAGTGACTCTGTAAGGCCTGATCTACACTGTGGGGGGATCGATCTAAGTTATGCAACTTCAGTTATGTGAAAAACGTAGCTGAAGTCGATGTACTTAGATTGACTTACTGTGGTGTCTTCACTACGGTGAGTCAACTGCTGCCGCTCTCCCGTCGACTCCGCCTGCGCCTCTCACCGAGCTGGAGTGCAGGAGTCGACGGGAGAGCGCTCGGGGATCGATTTATTGCGTCTAGACTAGACACGATAAATCAATCCCTGCTGGATCGATCGCTGCCC